AGAAGCGTTGGCTGGGGATGAGGGGGGGATTGGAGTCCACCCCAGAGGCTTGGAAGAAAGGGGCTTTGGGAACATCTGTCCCTGGGAGGTTATTCTTCCCCCAATTCAAAGCCCTCCAGATGTGCTGGCCAGAATTCCCTATGCTGCCAGGAGCTCCAGAAGTTATACCTAAAGGGTCTTCTTGCCTCTTTTCCCGCACAATCGCCACCCTTTCTCACCTTGTGCTGAAAAAGGGGGATTGACCTAAATTCACCCTAGGACCTTTCATGGTGGAAGGTGGACTTCAACTTGGGCTTTCTTGGTGCTGATCCAACATCCTCCCAGCTACTGCACGTGGACTCTCTAAAACAGGGGTCCTCAACCTTGGCGACTTTAAGACTTGTGGACTTCAACTCCCAGAATTCCTCAGCCAGCAAAGCTGGCTGAGGAATTCTGGGAGTTGAAGTCCACAAGTCTTAAAGTCGCCAAGGTTGAGGACCCCTGCTCTAAAACCTCAACGGCAAACATTACCACGCTGAACATGATGGCACAACTCCACTCCTGATCCCTGACAAGCTGCCTCAGAAACTCTTCAGGTTTATTTGACGTTCTTGCGGGCAGGAGGAAGGCAGTTGTAATTTTTCTCCTTACAGTACCCACATCGGGCATCAAACTAGTTGCTATTTGTAGGTTCAACACCAAAAGTAGGTTGATTTTGGAGACACGGAGAGGAGTTTGAGGAAACTCAAATGGAAAGCCAACTGTGAGCGCCTGTTACAGACCGATAACAACGTATCACTCTTGAGCAGTAATGTCCCCATAAACAGGAAAGATAAAAGATCTTCGTTGCGGCATTTGATAGCGAGGAAAAGTAGGATATAAACACACATAGCCGGAACAGATCTGGCCATGAATGCTTTTATACTTGGAGCTGCTTGACACTAAGAGTTGTTCCAAGGGTTCACACAATCATGAGCACCGAAGTCTTTGGCAAGATTTGGGACCTGCTCAAATCTATTTCCAACCCAGTGACTGGTCTGAAGGCTCCCAGCGACCTTCTGTGCCCAGACACGGTTTCCTTGTTCCTTTAACTATCAAACTGCCTAGCGTTCTGAAGATGTTGATTCAGTTTCCCAACAACATGGTTGTGTTGAGGGAGTCCACCATTAAAATAATGACAAAGCAGGGGTGGAAACATAGCTGAAAACACCAACAGGGAAGTTGAGCTGAGACTTGAGTCCATGGATCATGCTTTTAAACCCCAGTGAAGGAAGGATCTCCATTGTGTAGGATAACATAAAACTCACATAAAACATAAAACTCGGCTTTTGTTGTGTTATCGTTTGCTGATTTTCTTCTATTTTAATCAAACCACATAATCTAATTGTATTTATGATTGATTATAAAAATGACTTTGATGCTAGGTTTATTACAATCTGTCTCTATACCTCTGTTTTTTATCCGTAGCAACTTTAAGAAATGTTGAAAGTTCAAGTCTATATGTCATAAAATTGCCGAGGTTGAGAAACACTGACCTACCCCCTTCTTTTTCTTTCTTTTCTTTTTTTCTTTCTTTCCTTTCTCTATTTCTTTCTTTTCTCTATTTCTCTTTCTTTCTTTCTCTTTCTTTTTCTCTCTTTCTGTTTCTTTCTTTCTTTCTTTTTCTTTCTTCCTACATTTCAGTTCTGTTTGCTGGTTGAGAATAATACAATCACACCAATTTCTCCCCACAGGCAAGCAGACTCTTTTTTTAATCACGCATTTTGTTGCCTGGCTACAGTATTACAGATCATGCTTGATGGACCCCCAAATTACAGTAACCAAAACAGACTGGATTTTAAACCGAGAAATATTTGTGGCGATTGACATAAAAGCAACAACTGCTGAGAACACAAGAGGGAGCCTTCAGACTGCCACCAGCATTCAACTGGGCAATCCAGTGTTGATACTGTTCTTTTCTTGTTGTGCTACCTGTGTATTTGATATTGAGGCTGCTCATCCAGAATGCTAATGCTGCTTGTTACCAAATGTCTCCTTCAAAGTCGAATCGAACTGATGGGCGCGAACTACAAAAACTTTCCTGGCATTTCCCAAGAAATGTGTTTATTTCCTGAAATTAGATGTTGGGCAAGACATGCCTCTACCTTACACCGTTTTTGAATGGATGTTTCTTCTGTTGTCCCATCATTTCTTAACCCAGCAAGATCCTATAGAAGCAATGAGGTCCTAGCTAAGATATTCTACCTGCCTGTCTTTGGAGAATCTGAACTCCGAAGGCTGCCACGAGGATTTCTGCCCGTGCTCCCTGCAGTTGCAAAGCTTCCTCCCTCAGCAAGGGGATATGGACAGATGGGTGATAACCACCCTGAAGTGTGCTGTAGAGTACGTTTAATGAGGTAGAGTTAACCATTAAGGAACACATCTGGGTTTGGGACATGTGCACACCAATGGAGGCCTTGTAAGATGTTGCAATTAATGCCACCGAGAAGGAGATTCCAACCTTGGCCACTTTAAAGACCTGTGGACTTCAACTGCCAGGATTCCCCAGCCAGCCATGCTGGCTGGGGAATTCTGGGAATTGAAGTCCACAGGTCTTTAAAGTGGCCAAGGTTGGACACCCTACCATAGAGTATCCTATTTCTTCAAAAAATAACCTGACCCAGCAATATTAGCAAAGCATTAATCAAAAAGGGGTTAAGGGTAGCTAATGTAGTACACTTTCCGTTCCTAGCTCCTTGCTTAACGGCAAGACAGAAATATAAAGACTGTACTAATACTTTCCTTGGCAAAATAGAACAGGAGAGTGCGAGGAGGTCATTGTATTCCCCAGAAAGTCCAAAGGTGGTTATAATTAGCACAACAAGTCAAAACGTGTTGGGCTTTCATGTCCTTTTTGCTGGTTTGGCAGTTAATTGTTTTTCTCTTTCCAGTTCCTTCTCCCGCTGCTGTTCTCGCTCTAGTTCTTCCTTCTGTCGTTTCTGCTGGAGTTTGAGCGCTCTTCTCTGAAAGAAGGAAGCATCAGAAAGCCAAAGGGTTATATGGGAGGATATCACAGCTTTGATATTAGAATAGGATAGAGCTGGAAGGGACCTTGGAGGTCTTCTAGTCCAGCCCCCTGCTCAGGCAGGAGAACCTATAGCCTCTCAGACAGGTGAATGTCCAGTCTCTTCTTAAAAATTTCCAGTGATGGAGCACCCACGGTTTCTGGGGGTAAGCTGTTCCACTGGTTGATTGTCCTCACTGTCCTCACTATTCTGCTATTGTTTTTCACAGGTCTCTTAGCTTTTATTTCCTCTTCATATAGTATTAAAAGGGATCCTGAAAAAAAGCTTAGTTTCGTTCTATAAAGGTGCATTTCAAGGTTATAGCCAGTCCTTCCAAACAGGTCATTCTAGTCTCTTTCCCTGATCTTTAAAACACATTTTCATTTTCCAATTGTACAGTTGAAAAGATTCAAAGCCCTTTTACAAGCCTTAAAGAAAAATTGTTGTAGATCTGCATTTTACTTTTTTGCATTTAGGCACACTTTGTGTCCTCTGAACTGCGCCAGGTTCACTATTCTGAGAAGAGCTGATTTCATCAAGAGAAAACATTGTATACAATGTCCATGAACTGCAATTCTAAACAATAGGGTTTTTTTTAAATTACAGGGCCTTACAAAATTTCCGTGACATGGTTCGCTAGGTCAAGTGACAATCCAGTATTTCGTTTTCGTCTTTTTGCTAGAATTTATAAGAGAAACCTATTTCCTCAGATATCGTTTATAAGCAAATATCGCCCAGTCCAAGCTTATGAATATTTACTGAGAAATAAGTTTCACTTTGTATATTAGTGGATGTAACAATACATAGGATTACATCTTTAATCCATGACAGGCCTCATATGCAATTACTGAATTATTTTACCGAGAAATTTTGCTGAAGGCAGAGAACTGGCTTCACTGGTAATGGATTAAATTAAACCTGATATTAAAAGATGAAATTTGAATTTGAAGGAATGGCAACATTTTAAAAACTAAACATTCATGAAAATACTAATACTTAGAATGGAGTTATTTAGAAAATATAGGACTTTTGATTTGATCTGCAAAACTAAAGAGTCAAAATGTGTATCGACAATGTACATTTGTCCACTAGCTAAGTGAAATAAAACTCACTTTCAACTTTGATGTCTTCTCATGCAGCATCAACATCTCTTTCCTAATGTTTACCAATTTATTGTGATAGTATTTTGCTTCTGAAAACTTAAAAAGAAGAAAACACTTAGTGGAAATAAAAACTTACAGTGTGTCTAAAACAAACTGAATATCTTTAAAAAAACAAGTAACTTGTTTCTTGAAGATATTAAAATATACGTAAAAACTATTCTAGATACACCCAAAGATGTTTTTTCAAGAGGCAACTGGACTTTCTTTGTTTTCAAGAAAGAAAGTCCAGTTGCCTCTTGAAAAACATCTTTGGGACAACCATGACCTGGATGACTGAGAATCCAGATATTCTAGGTACAGTTCCTTAAAAGAAGGCTTAATGCAGTTAGATGTATCTATCTATAAACTGCTCAGAGTCACTTAGATAGTGAGATGGGTAGTGTATAAATTTGATAAATGTTTGATAACTAAATCAATCTCCATAAAAAAAATACTACAATGTAAAGTCACTACAGTGAGGCTAGAGTTCACTAAAAACAAAATACAGAATCCTTTCATGAACTCTGAAAGGCTACAGAATACTAGGAGTTACTTCTGAAGCCCTTCAGAGCAATATATTATTGTGTTTTCCACGATTTACTGAACTTAGCTCCATCCATCGAAAATAATTTTCATCGTTAGAAGCAAGGTCTATTATCTCCTGAACCATATGCACGGTCAGAGTGCTTATACATGCCTAAATCAGTTCAAGATCAAACGGCTTCCGTTTTAGTACATGAAAACGTATACAATCATTGCTGGATGTTTGCAATTAGTACAAGATACCGTTGTACTGTTATATAAACAAAACACTTCATGTATTTCTGCAGAAAAGGGAAGCTCAACAGCAACAGTCTTCCAATTAAGTCAAATCTAACAAAAACACACTTACCAGCATGTTGATATCAAGAACTGAATTACATTCTTTAAATTTTGAAATTTCCTGTTGTACGGTTTCTAATAGTACTTCCTGGTTCTGTCTGAAAGAATAGACCAATTTAAAATGCATTTTGAAATCAATGCTAAGAAAAATAAAGTACTGATATGAAAAAATCCATTTTTAGAAATTCTGAATGCTCTCCCCCTCGAGATTCAGTAGCTTTTCCAAATGTATTATACCACCCACTTCTATAAACATCTCAGCTTGATATGGTAGACAAAGAAGTGCAAACAGTGCTGTATATCCCTGTAATAAATATGGAAATAATTTTGATCTTTCAACACGAAACTCAGTTAAGAGGAAGATTAATTCTAATACCAAGCTATGGGTCTGGGGTTTGTACCATATATAAAAGACTATTTTTTAAAAGTTACCTACGTGAGTTCTTTTAAGGCTAGTTTTGATCGTTGTAGGTCAGGCAAATAATGTGAAATCAGCCCTTCTGTTAGTTGCTCCACAGCTTTCTTATCTACGACAGGAAAGTCATCTACTAGGGCTTCATCAGGAGAATTATCATTAAGATCTAAAACAAAGGAGTTGATAAAAAAAACTGTTAACAGACAATTTCTGAACGAAGAACTCTCAGAATTATTGCACTGTTTTTAATTTCCAGTTATCCTACTGACAGCCTGATGCTATTAGTGCCTCTTAAAAATGAGATATCTTTAAATGGAAAATAATTATTAAATAAACAGAGACTTCACTGGTTAGAGAACTCTGTAGCAAGAAACCTTACTTCATTTAAAAATGTTCCATAGATGTGAGGCTAGTAACAAGAACTGAACTATAACACCATTTTTCATATTAAAAAAAATGAAAGATCTACAACTGCATGCTACTCTAATGTTTGATTAAGTGCTAATAGTATAATTATTTATCCTGTATTATTAGCTCAGAGCTCATTAGCAAGGAGGACCACATATACTACTGCAATTTTAGTTTTGATACAGGTCATTCTGGACATATAACTACAATTGGGATCATAATTCCCATTGCTAAGCAAAGTGGTTGTTAAGTGAATTATGCCTGATTTTATGCTTTTTTGTTGCTATGTTTTTTCAGTGAATCACAGCAGTTGTTAAATGAATCATGCAGTCATTAAGCATGGGAATGCTGAGAGGGTAATAGGGTCATAAGTGTGAAGACTGGCCATAAGTTACTTTTTTCAGTGCTGCTGTAACTCCTAATAGTCACTAAATAAATGGTTATAAGTTGAGGACTACCTGTGCTTAGGATTTGCTGTTTATCTTACTAATTCTCAATAACATGGACAGATGGAGAAAGAAGCTGAACTATCAGCATGTTTCATTCTACTTCTTAAGTGATTTATTGCCCAAAGGAATTTCCTACTGTTGTGGGAATAATACTGCAATTAAGTTAATAACCAAAGCAATTTGGAGAGAGAGATGCAACAAAGTGTGTTTACTAGCATGCATAAACTACTGTGCACTGATCGTTGAGTTCCTTGCCAAAGCAATACTACAGGTTGTATAGGTTAATTACATTAAGCACTATACACACCCATGTAAATATATACACAACGTGAAAAATACTTAGGTGTGAATGCTTTTATAAATGTTATATATTTGTGTATGTGTATAAAACTGTACATGATGGGTGGCTATATAAGTAAGTGTGTGTGTGTGTGAGAGTGTCTGTGTGTCTGTATATACATATAGGGTTTCGGCAAAACCTTTTATGTATATATGTATATGTGTCTGTATACATATATATATACACATATAAAAGGTTTTCCTGAAACCTCTCTCTCTCTCTCTCTCTCTCTCTCTCTCTCTCTCTCTATATATATATATATATATATATATATATATATATATATATATATATATATATATATATATATATATATATATATATATATATATATATATATATATATATGTTTTTTTTTTTTTTTTTTTTCGAATCTCGGAAGGGTATGTCTGACTGATGAAAACCAAACAAGGTTAGAAATAGCTATCTCAGTACTCCCTTAATTCTTTGTTAGCATTCCAAATTTTGAAAAAACATACATATATATATATATATATGTATGTGTGTGTGTATAATACATATACATATATACACACACACACACGCAAAACTTTACACACACACATATATACACATACACAAAATCTTACACACACATATATACGCACATACATAAACACACACATATGTAAGGTTTTGTGTGTGTGTACATATAGAGATAGGAGATATATACATACTGTATATAAATACACACACACACACACAGGAGCTTGGCTCCTTGGACTTCAAGTCCCATCACCCCCAGCAAGCTTCGGCCTACCTCGCGCTCCCAGTCCACCTACCTAAGGCGGGGTCGTTCAGGGCTCCGGGCGGCCATCCCGCCTCCACCTCCGGCGCCTCCGCCAAGCTCATCGCCCACGCTCGAGGGCCGCGGCTGGACTAACCCCGCAGGAAAGCCTGACCGAGGCCTAGCAAGCCCGGCCGAAGCTCCTCCAGGCGGCGGTGTCAGGGAAAGGGCCCTCGAGGCGGCTTCACCGGACTCCCGAGTCCCCGGGATCCCCTCCGGGGCGTGGGGAGCGTGAAGTACGAGAGCAGCAGGCCTCAACCTCGCAGGAGAGTAGGCCTTCCGTCGATACACGGGCGAGAAACGCCCGGAGGAAGCTAGAGATACGAAACGAAGAGTAGCCACGGCGCCCGAGCTTCAAAGTGATCTTCCGGGTTCATTATGTAAATTGTATCCCCCCCCCCCAATAATTCCTAAATGATTCGGAAAAAGCGAGCTGCCCTTTGAAAATCAGGGAGACGAAGGAAATTCGGATTAGAGGAAAGAGGGGTCATATTGTGCCATCAGACCATCTTTCTTAAAAAGGGGGTTATTTGTTAGCTATTAAAGCCATTTGCCAAACTTCTATCCCATAATTCTATTCTATTCTATCCCATAATTCTATTCTATTCTATCCCATCTTAATTAATTATACAGCGAAAAAAAAAAAATATTTGGTTTTTAATAGGTTTTTATGGGGGGACGATGTTTTATGTGTTTTAATATGCTGTAAGCCGCCCTGAGTCCTATAGGGAGAAGGGCGGCATATAAATCCATGTAAATAAATAAATAAATAAATAAATAAATGCTGCTCTTCTCTCATTATTTTTCCATTTGTTAAAAATGTATAGGTTTCCCATATTCCCATCTGTATCTCATAGCTTTAACACTGTTATTTTTACATGATTTTATATATATACATATACATATGGTACAAAATAAAAATGCGAACACCAGGAGAATATAAGACAGTTAAAAGTTTAGTAAAAACCTTAAAAACTTTTAAAAGCATACAATCATAGGGGCCAAGCTTTCGTCGGATCCTTTTTAAGGTTTTTACTAAATTTTTAACTGTCTTATATTCTCCTGGTGTTCGCATTTTTATTTTGTGCCATGGATATTCCCAGGAGTCATTCGTCTGTCTTTTATGTTATTTGCAAACATATACATATACATATATACATATACATATATATATATATAAATGTGTCACTTTTATAATACGGTAAATATCGATCAATGTCACCTACATGCCAATAAAATCTCGGGGAGAGGGTTTCCTGCAATAGTTTTAAAAGTGGGAAAGGGTTGACTCTAGAGCAAAAAGTTTAAGTAATACTTAGATACAAATACTTAACAAATACTTAGCATACATCTATATAACTGTATAGTTATATACAGTTATATACAGTTACTTAACTATATACTTCACACATATCGATATAACATACATCTATACAACTGTATCCATTAGCTGTAACTATATAAACTTATGTTTCTGAGACAAATGTGCAAATACACGCACAAACAAACGCAACTATTTCTTCCTTAGGTGCAGAAATCAGCGTGTTTCCTTGTTTTTTTGAACCCCGAGATTTTTGTGATTGGTTGCTCTATACTTTTTCCCTCCCGTTTCTATCTCTATCTCTAAATAGAACCTTAATGCTGGGGCGCCGAAGTACCTGGCTGCTAGGCAGAGTGGGTGGGTTGTCATAGCAACACCAGCTGTTCAGAGAAAGTCCTGGGCCCTTTCCATGGGGATGCTCTTGTCAGTTCCAGCCCCTCTGTTAGTATCTGCAGGGCTGCTTATGCCTCCCTGTTAATTCTGGGTGCCCTGGGGTGATAGCAGGTTTTTCAAAATAATCCTTAAGGTTGAGTTATGGTAGTTTGTTGGGAAATCGTTTTTCTAGAATTGCATGGTGGATAAGAGGAGTCTGTTATCCTATGCAGTGCACCACCCTTTTAGGTTTTGAAGGATGCTCAGATATTGAGGTCAGCTAAAAGGCTTTTGCCTCTAATTCCTAACATGAACATGATATAGTTGCCTATTTCCCTTCAGATGCTATATATAATTGTTAAATTAGGCAGTATACTACAGCAACTCTTTCTGGCTCAGTCTGTGAATATCTAGGGGATATCAGTGTTTGAGTGTAGTTGTAACTAAATTGCATTGTTGATATTTGTCTATTTGCCCTTTGAATGGTGAGAAAACCAGCACCATCAAAATGTCAAGCGGTGTGTTATAGCTTGAACAGTCTTTGTGTGTGGATTTGCCTCTCGCCACCCTAAGAATTACAATAGAGTATTACAACTCCCTGTTTTCTGCCAGTGGATAAATCTTGGCTCAGCTTAGAGGACTAGGATTCAAAATCCTTAAAAAAAAAAAAAACGTTTGTGGGGAACCTGGACTTCAAACATTTTGAAAATGCTTTATACCCCAGAATTGCATTTGTATACTGGATCAAGTGCAAATATATCCAGGTATGTAATTAGTTAACAAGGGAGAGAGAATAAAAACAGGGAAATAAAGTGTGTTTATTTATAAGCAGGAGGATTACAATTTTGACAAAGCCAGAAAAACTGCCTGTGCATGTAGATGATTGAGAAGTTTGCTTTAGTTATCAAAACAAAGCTTTATCCTTAATACAGGGCCTACAAGCTTGAATAGAACTGCTTAAAATAACAGAGGGCCTTCAAAGTTTCTATGTCCAGCTTCGTCCTCCCAGAACAACTGTTCCAGTTATAGATCTCTCTGATTCACATAGGCTGATTACTACAAGATGTGAAACTATACTGTGGTTTGCTTATGACTTAGCTTACTGTGTAAACCCAACAATTGTAGTTGGTAAATCTTGGCTTATGCATCAGCATGTTGTATGAGCCTAGTTACTTGTGGCTTATTGAATAAGACATTATTAAGCAAATCATGGCTTATGGTTTTATATAAACAAAGCCATATTTAGAAGGGGGGGGAGTACTCTTTGTCAGTCTGGAAACTACAGTGCTGAAAAATCTCTTCTAATATGCAAAGGTGTTTAGTGAAAGCCATAAGGCAGGGGTGTCAAACTGCCAGCCCGTGGGTCAGAGGTATCACCAGGAAACCGCGCCCACCCCATTGCCAGCAATGGGGAAAAAACTCCGATACATTGCGCATCGTCACGTGACGTTGCGAGTTTGACATGTTTGCCATAAGGACATCATAGAACAATGACACAAATTATTACTGGCAGAATTTGCATACAGATCGTTTTCGACTTACAATCACAATCGGGACCAGAATTTCCATTGCTAATCAGGGCAGTTAAAGGAATCACATCTGATTTTGCAACCTTTTTGCCACAATTAGGCAAATCACTGCAGTTGTTAAGTGGATGTGCAATTATGTGACTTCGCTTATTGGAAGCCAGCAGGGGAGATCACATATGGCAATCGCATGACCCCACTACCATTGTAAATACATGCCGTTGGCCAAGGGCCTGAATTTTGATGACATAACCTAGGGGAATAAATGGTCATAAATGTGAGGACCAGTTATTAGTCACTTTTTAAAAATAGTTTATGATCTTATGCCTCCTAGAATGAGCATTTCCTTATGTGAGAAAATGAGGGAGAATCATCCTTCTAAAATGAGACCATCTACAGCAGCCAGTCTCAGCTTATCTGCAGGAAGTTGATTTGCAACTTTTTAAATATATGATATATGCCTTCAAATAGTTTACAGTGAACTATGGACTATTTCAGAAGGCTAAAAATAAAAGGATTAGAGTGTTGTTGCATTCATTCATACAAGAAACGAAATGTTCAAAACCAGGAGGGGGAAGAAAGATTACAGTTTCCATTCAGCCAAAATAAAATATCCAGATGAAACAAACTTTTCATCAAAAGTGGCAAGCTTCATTAAAACAAACGAAGCATTTTCAAAATATTTATAACCGCTGGTGACTTAATAGTATGGTATGGACTGTATGGGCTGGATTAGAAGGCCAATCGTACGCATACTTATTCTGAGGTACATTCCTGTGCATTGAACAGAATTTATTAAGTAGTCTTATGATTCAGTAGGACTTAAAGGAAGCTTATGAGCTTGTAAACTTTTGTTCTAAGCTTAAACTGAACAAACATACATTTAGATTGAAAATGGACTCAGGATTGCAGGCTTCTCTAGAAAGGACCAAGGTTAAAAAAAAAATAGTGGGTTTTAGTACAGGGTCAGACCGGGTTTATACAAGCTGTGGTTTCTTCTAACAGTGATTTATGGAATAAGCCACATTGCTTCTCATACTTTTCTTCCCCCCCCCTTTTTTTTTCTTTTTTTTGGACATAAGCTTGGATCAGGATCTAAAAATCTCCCTGGCAGGATGAAAGAAGAAATGTCAAAGGCAGGCTGAAGATGCCAATCATTGCTCAAAGGAACCAGGAGCACACACTCCAAACAGGTTTTTGCAGTTTTGGTTAATATTGCCTATTGTTATGAAGGCTGAGATATTTAAAAAGGCAGGAAAGGCAAGTTAAAAAGATCTCTCTCTTTCCATAACTGTGAGTGGCTGTAGTCAGTAGGAAGCTCTTTAGCAAATATCCAAAGGATTTGAAACCAGACAGTGAAAACTCTCAACTCCATAGGCCAGGTGGGAGTGGAAATGATAAAATGTGCCCTGTGACATTTTTACCTGCAATATTCTAAGGCTGAAAGGTGGAGCAGGCATTATGAGACTTTTGTCAATCTCATGCGGGAAGGAACAGACCCCAGGCCTGACTCTCAACTGCTTAAGGATGCACTATTAAAAATGGAGGCCTTTCCTATTGTATGCTTAGCTAAAGATGGTAAGGATAATTGTTAATTATCTTTTAATATGGAGGTGTGATGGCTTAGTGGGTTTGAGCTCCGTGTGACGGGTGAGCTCCCGTTCCTTGCTCCAGCTCCTGCTCGCCTTGTAGTTTGAAAGTATGCAAATGTGAGTAGATAAATAAGTACCACTTTGGTGGGAAAGTAACAGCATTCTGTGCATATAGCCATGACCGCATGATCACAGAAATTGTCTTCAGATAACAGATACGAGCACCCTAGAATTGGACATGATTGAGCAGGGAAACCTTTACCTTTTAAAAAAATCTTTTAATGGGTCCATTGAATTCAGTATTCCTTAAAAGTACATTAAAGTTTAGGGGAATTATTTCATTGCTTTCATATCAAAGGGGGAGAATAGACTGAAAACAAATAGGGGAGAAAATAAATGGTTAATCTACTTTTCTGAGACTTGTGTTTTCAATTGTCTCTAAAAGGTTGCAAAATTTGCACCTTTGCTGATGGCTAAAGAAACCACAAGAAAGGACTTTTTTTATTATTCTAACTGCAAGATAACATAGTGGCAAAAGTGTATACAGAACGTGGTTATCTGGTGTTACAAACATAAGGGAAAGTTGTTCCAGTATTTGCAAGAGGCGTGACCTTGCTTTTCTTGAGAAATGACTGTATTTTGTTAAGTGTGACATTTAAAACCTTTCCAGATGTCCCACAATCCTTGCCTTGCAAACATTTTGCAGCTGAGCAGGGAGCTAATCAAACCCTAATTTATAAGGGAAGACTCACTTCTATCACTTTTCATTTCATTGGGGGAAAAAAACCCCAGCAGACACTCAACAAACCTTGCCTGCAGCTCCTAATTACTGAATTTGCACAGCTCCCTCCCTCTTAAGTTATGGTTACAGACCACAATTGCTCGATTCAGATGGCACATTAAATCAAACTCAGACCAATTACAGGTAATCCTCAACTTATAACCAAGATAGAGACCAGAATTTGTTAATCAAGGTGGTTAAAGTGACTGGCCCTTGATTTTATAAGGATTTTTTTTTGGCCAGGGTTCATAAAATTGCTATAGTTGTTAAGGGAATCACCTGGTGGTTAAGTGAATCCAGCTTCCCCCACCCCCTTTGACTTGACTTGTTGGAAGCCAATTGACAAGGTTGCAATGGTGATCACATGACCCTGGGGTGCTGCAACCGTTGTAAATACGTGCCAGTTGCCAAGCACCCAAACTTTGATCACCCGACTGTGGGGGCACTGTGACTTTTGTAAGTGCGAAGTCCAGTCGTAATTCACTTTTCTTCAATGCTGTTGTAACCTCAAACACCCACTAAATCAGACATGTCAAACTCAGGACGTCCCTTGACGTATCAGGGCTTTTCCCCCATTGCTGGCAATGGGGTGGGCACGGTTTCCTCGTGATGCGTCCGGCCCATGGGCCGGCAGTTTGACACCCCTGCACTAAATGAATGGTTGTAAATCAAGGACAACCCGTGTATATACAGCAGGGGTCTTCAAACTTGGCCCTTTTATGACTTGTGGACTTCAGCTCCCAGAATTCCTCAGCCAGGAATTCTGGGAGTTGAAGTTCACAAGTCACCAAAGGGCCAAGTTTGAAGACCCCTGATATACAGACTTAATGCCTGACACAACCTTGTATCAGGTTATAGCAGTGGTTCTCAACCTTTTTAATGCCGCAACCCCAACCGGTCATAAGTCGAGGACTGAACCGGTTGTAAGTCGAGGACTACCCAACCGGTCGTAAGTCGAGGACTTCCCCTGCCCGGGAGCGCCGCGCATGCGTGGTTCCGCCCCCTGCGCCGGCCGAGGCATAGCTGGCAAGCGGCAGAGACGGAGCAGGCCGACCACCAGCTGGCCCAGCCCAAGGGAGGTAAGGCACCCGCCGGAAAAGGGGGAAAAAAATGGCGGACAAAAAAAATGGTGGACAGCCTTGCTTGGTGACCCCCATGAAATGGTCGATCGACCACAAATGGGGTCCCAACCCACAGGTTGAGAACCACTGGGTTATAGGGTAGTAGGGCGAGAGCAACAGTGAGCAAAGCTGCCGTTCTGCAGGGTAAAAATATTACACATCCATCACTCAATGCAAGCAGGTAACCCCACTCCAGGGGGTCTGCAAACTTGGCCCGTTGATGACTTGTGGACTTCAACTCCCAGAATTCCTCAGCCAGGCGTGCCTGGCTGAGGAATTCTGGGAGTTGAAGTCCACCAGTCATCAAAAGGCCAAGTTTGGAGACCCCTGCCCCACTCCTTTCCCTTTCACTCCCATAAGGATTTTCCATTCTTGCACGGGAAGCCACTGGTCGCCCCCCCCCGGCCCGAATTCCCTCCCGCCTACAGCTCCCACCCTGCACCGCGCCCGCGCTCACTCTTAACCCTTTCGGCGCCATCCCCTGCAAGTCGCGGCTGGGTGGAGCGATCCAGCCAGAGGATCGGCGCACGTGGAAAGAGGCGGGGGGGGGGGGAAAGGGAGGGAAGAGGCGGCTCTCCTCCCCCTTGAAAAAACGCCCGACGGGGCTCTGCCTCCTGGCCAGCTGGCGGATTCCCCCGAGGTCGGGGGCGGCCAGGCAGATATTTTTTTTATTATTATTTTTTTCGGGAACGGAAGAGGCTCTCGCCTTTTGCAAGGGAAGGAGGGGCCGGAGAGGCTTGCCTTTTTTTTTTCCTTTTTTTTTTTTTTTGCAAAATTAGGACGAGGCTGCCAGGCTGGCATTCCAAAGCGCGGAGCTGAGGAAGCAGCCGAAGCAGGATTTTGATTGATTGATTGATTTCCTGGGCCCTTCCCACCAAGGCCCGCCTGGGTGTGCCTCTCTGTGTGTGCATATGCATGCATGCATGCAGCGAGCCCACGCGTGATTGTGGGCAGCGCGACCCCTTCCCACCAAGGCCGGCCTGGTTGTGCCTCTGTGTGTGTGTGTGTGTGTGCATATGCATGCATGCATGCAGCGAGCCCACGCGTGATTGTGGGCAGCGCGACCCCTTCCCCCCAAGGCCCGCCTGGTGGGGCCTCTCGGGTGTGTGTGTGTGTGTGTGCGTGCGTGCATATGCGTGCGTGCATGCAGCGAGCCCACGCGTGATTGTGGGCAGCGCGACCCACCCTGGGCTGGCACCGAGGGCTGGCTAGATGGAGCGATCCGGTCACGCGAGGCGGCACCAGCACCAGCAGCAGCAGCAGCAGCAGCCGGAGCGGCAAAGGACTGCCTGAATGAATATTCCGGCATGCCTCTTTTTCTCGTGCAGCCCACACCCTCCTCCTCCTCCTCTCGGGCTAATCTCCGGGCAGCCGGGCTCTGCCCCAGCGCCAGTCGTCGCTTCCCGGCGTGGCAGGCGAGCGCAGGAATTGGCTGGCCCTGCGCTCCGCAGGAGGAGATGGCCCGGAGGAACGCAGCTCGTCCCCGCCGCGGCGGCCGCCTCCTTCTCCGCTTGCAGGTAGAGGAGGGTCGACGGGCTTTCCCCCCCCCGCTCTCCACACACACACACACACACACACACACCCCTCCCACCCGGGCCCTCTGCAAGCCCCGGTAGCCGTCGAGGGGCGTTTTTGGGCAGCCTCCGCGCCCAGATGAGTTGTTGTTGTTGACCGGGTTGACGGTGGAGTCGTTCAACCTGCCTGGTAGGATGCCCAGGTGAAACACCTGGTTCTCTCCAGGGCGGGANGATTCCCCCCTCCCCTCACCGGCTTTCCAGCTGTGATGAGATTCCCCCCTCCCCTCACCTGCTTTCCAGCTGTGGTGAGAAGCCACCAGCCTTATCCCCCCCCCCCAAGGCACCGTATGGGTCAAATGCGGTGGCATATTCATTGCTGGGGATTGCTCAGCCTTCCATCCTTCCGAGGTCGGTAAACTGAGGACCCAGATGGTTGGGGGGGGGCAAGAGGCCGACTCTGTAAACCCCTTAAAAGGGAGGGCTGTAAAGGCACCGGGAAGCGGTATATAAGTGCTATTGCTGTTGCTACCTGGCTGTGCAAGGCTATGGAGGTGTTCAGAGGGCTATGGAGGCCATCTGCCTGGCTTTGCCCGGAGGGCTCTAGAGTGGGCACAAGGCAAAGCTAGAATGCCTTATTTATTTGTTTGTTTATTTGAAAAAATTTATTGGCTGCTCCCCACAGGCTAACTCTGGGTGGCTTAGCAATCTTGGAAAGAAAAAGATAAAATCTATACAAAAGCTAAGCCGTTAAATAATATTTAATATATTTCATAAAGACTTAAATAAAATACTTTAAAGGTCCAATGACTAAGCCCCAATGAAAAGGGAAGGAGGGAGGGAGGGAGTAGGATGTGAAAGGGGGAAAGTGGGACCAGTTGTTAATCTGTCAATCACACGGGTATCAAAATGTTCCTTTCTAGGTTTAGGGAAGGGACAGGACGTCTTGGCCATGGCACGGTGGCGTGGCCTGGACTTGGTGGAGGGGGAAACCTTTTCATTGACTTCCTAACGTGCCTGTCCTTGCCTTTCCCAGCTTTAATTCCTCAATGAAGCTGCCCACGTTGGACGCCTCTGGCCTAGATGAGAAACGGTGGGCGGAAATAGCCAAGGCATGCTAGAGGTATAGTCCCCCCCCCCCCCGAGAGGCAGACGGCTGTCCCTCGGTACCAGGGGCATCCAGCTGTGTTTCTAGAACTGACAGCCTGCCATGGCTGGCCCCAGCATCTGGAACCGCCTCAAGTCGGTCCTGAGAAAGAACAATGATTCCTTGTTTCTGAACGACTGCAATGCTTTTGATTTTTCGGACGAGATCGGGGAGGAAGATTTCCCCCGGTTCAAGAAACTCCAAGTGGTGGTTTCGGACGATGCAGCCGACACTTCTGCCAACGGGGCCTACGTGGGACCTCACTCCGACGATGAGTCCTTGCTGGACAGGGACATTGCCTTGCGAAATGCTGTGGCCGGACCCCCGACGGACCCTTGTAACAATTGTACCCAGCAAAGGGAACTGTTAAAACAAAGGAAGGTGAAGAGGCGGTTGGCTTTAGCTGCAATTCTCTATCTTCTCTTTATGACGGGCGAGCTTGTAGGTAAGAGGGCCCTGCAGTCAACGGACTGGGGGTGGCGTCGGGGGGGGGAGAGAGGAGAGGTTGCGTTGTAAGGCGGGAGTGCGGTGGAATAGCTGTTTAATTATTTTCTCAGGCTGGAGGATAAGGGCCACCGTTCAATTGGCACGCTTGCATTGCAACAGGACAATAGGTTGAGAGAATGTCTTAAGTAAGCAAAAACTGCCTGCAGCAAATGGGGGGAAAAGAGAGGATGGATTGTGCCAATCTTTTGATCTGCCTTTGTGTGGACTGATTCGGTTGAACAGTGTGCGGTGGGTCTTTGACTACCTACATTCACGGACAGAACAGCCCTGATACATAGCTTGGCTCTTGATGGTTTCGGAGCATAGACACCCTAAGATTGTGTTCGTATCTTATCTTAACTCATGATTTGTTTTTCCATTTGCTAACCCCAATTAGCTGGAGTCACATAACAGAGGTTCTTCATACAAAATGTTGAGCCTAAAGCAACATTTATGGTTTAGTACAGGGGTAGGCAACTTTGGCTCTTTTATGACTCGTGGATTTCAATGCTGGCTCAGGAATTCTGGGAGTTGAAGTCCACAAGTCATAAAAGAGCCAAGGTTGCCTACCCCTGGTTTAGTACAATAGAAAGGCTGTTTCTAATAGAATAGTCTTAAGGAGATAACCTAATCCTGGATCCAGGTTTCTGGTGTCTGGCCTTTCAATAGAAGGACTTACAGTCTAATAAGGAGGAAATTGGGGGTGCCTTTTCTGATGAGCACAGTTTTTTTAAAAAATAACCCTTAAAAAAACATAAGCTTATGCCTTTGATAAAACCTGTTGGTTGAAAAAGACGCTACCAGCTCATACTGATTTTTGCTACCATAAACTAAAAGGGACAGGTGAGACCAAGACAGACCAAATTTGATCTCATTCCATCCATTTTTAATTAGAAATCATTAATAAATAGACTTTCAGAATTTCATCAACTTTCCCTTTGCTGTTTTAAAAATTGCTTCTGGAGGTTGCACCCTAGTCTTTCATCAGCTGTAGGTCATTCTTTGTATCCCTCCAGTCAACAATTCAGGCAACTAGCTTAAAGTAGACTAAAGGCTCGGTGCAGTTAAAGTCCTTCATTGTAAGAAACCAAGGATGGATTAATTTGATGAACTTTCTGAGGCCTGCTAGATAACCATTTTGGAGTGCTGCTCCACCTCCACACCGGTGTCTCCTCCTGCTTTTTTCCCCTCATCCCTGTTCGTTTTCGCTGTCTGCCTCTCCTGAATTGCTTGTGAAGATCTGCTACTCTTGAGATGGGTTCTTGTCCTTCATGGCTCATTGAAGGCAGTCAACTCGTTATTGACGGGGATGTTCACAAGCCTCTTTGAACTCTTTAAGGGAGGCAGCAGCAGAGGCAGACATTTCTCCAAACTGAATCCCAGACCTGGCAGATGGTACGAGTTGTTATTCTCAAAATCTGGACCGCTGCGGATCAGCGTGTTCCTCTGTGCACCAAGAACGCAAATGCACAATTACTTCTGCTTCTCCTTTCCCAGTTTCAGGCCTTTAAACATAGAAACCGGATACGCCTATTAAATCCTACTCACCACATCGTCTTGCATGGCTGGTGTAAGAGATTGAGCTCAGAGGAAAATAAATCATTTATCAAAGTTTCTCTGCGTTCCCACTCTGGCTTGCTTTGTGAATCAGGCTGGACCGCTTTGCTTACTTTAGAGCAATCCTTAAAATATTAGGCAGAAGAGAAATAGGACACACCCTTCCCAATCCCTGTCTCCTAAGCCCATTTCTGCCAAGTTGAGGTGGTGTCTTAAAAGTACTCTTTGTTTTAAAAAAAATATTTTTGTAAGTTGAAGCAGAAAAAAAAATGGGGCAACTTTCTTTCAAATCCTTCCTGCAAATAAAATGAGCTCAAGAATTAAAACCTGTAGCTAGAGCCATTTAATAACAGGATGTAAATCTTCTGGAAGCTGCTAGTTTAAAGGCAGGTTCTGAATTCTTAGTGTTTAAAGAATCGAGTCCTTTGACAAACATTGGCGCGTATTGAGAACTAAGTTATGAAATAAATGTAGTGCGTGGGGATTGCTACCTGTGGTGATTTCCTGCTGAGGATATAAAATATGGTTATAACCGCCAAAAATATATTTGACTGGAGCTATTGTGACTGTTGTCCATGCCTCAGTCTCCAATGTGGGTGTTAAAATATTTGTAAATGTGGCAGCGATTTGTTGCACAATAGATGCTTTGGAAGTTTGGAGGATGTGGAAGACACCTATCGTAGAACTGCCACAAATTGGACGCCACTGAATGGATAACATCACCATTGTCAGATGTTTTGGGGAGCTGTGATTGATGCAACTCCTTGCTGAATATAATAATAATAATGATGATGATGATGATGATGATGATGATGATAATAGTAATAGTAATAATAGTAATAATAGTAATAATAGTAATAATAAAGTTGGAAGGGACCTTGGAGGTCATCTAGTCCAACCCCCTGCTCAGGCAGGAAACTCTATACCATTTCGGACAAATGGCTGTCCAATCTCTTCTTAAAAACTTCCAGTGTTGGAGCATTCACCACTTCTGGATACAGGTTGTTCCACTGGTTGATTGTTCTAACTATCAGGAAGTTTCTCCTTAGTTCTAGGTTGCTTCTCTCCTTGATTAGTTTCCATCTGTTGTTTCTTGTCCTGCTTTCAGGCGCCTTGGAGAATAGCTTGACTCCCTCTTCTTTGTGGCAGCCCCTGAGATATTGGAAGACTGCTATCATGTCCCCCCTCGTGCTTCTCTTCGTTAAACTAGACGTACCCAATTCCAGCAACTTTTCCTTATATGCTTTAGCCTCCAGTCCCCTAATCATCTTTGTTCCTCTTCTCTGCACTCTTTCTAGAGTCTCAACATCTCAACCAAAACTGGATGCAGTATTCCAAGTGTGGCCTTACCAAGGCCTTGTAAAGTGATATTAACACTTCACGTGATCTTGATTCTATCCCTCTGTTAATGCAGCCTAGCACTGTGTTGGCCTTTTTGGCAGCTGCTGCACACATATATGTGGGTTGGGTTTTTTTGTGTGTAACATGTGAATATATCTAACATCTCCCTCCCCCTTTTAAACTTGTGCATTAAGGTGGATACATTGCCAACAGTCTAGCTGTCATGACGGACGCGCTTCACATGCTAACAGATCTCAGCAGCATTATTTTGACGATTCTCGCTTTGTGGCTCTCTGCAAAAGCTCCCACCAAAAAGTTCACCTTTGGATTCCATCGATTAGGTAAGGCGGCCTTTTAAATTACTCCGCTACCATTGCCTGTGCCAGTTGGCAGTGAAGTGTCTCTCTTTGATTTATCTTCTCCAAATGGGTGCCCTCCATCCATACCAAGCCAATTGCACTGGGGCTGTGACAGGTTGACAAAAAAAAAAAAAAACAAACCCCATGATCTAACAAGATGCCAGGAAAAGATACTGCTTAATTTGGTCAGAAAATGGTAGATAAATAACAACGTTACATATCTATAAAAGTGGTAATTTGCGAGATCCCTTTTGAGCTGTTGATTTAGGGATTCAGTATAGGTGGACAGCTGGGGAAAAGTCACCATATTCACACCCTCTAGTTCCGGTGCTTTTATGCCTGTTCTGTGTATTCCCTCATAACTCTTTCTCAACACAAGTCCACACCTTGGGCATATCAGTTGCGGCCCAAAGAGATTGATTGTGACATCAGTTTCTATAGGGAGATCTTTCACAATGAGATAAGATTCAGTGCCAATAGCTACTGCAGTTTGGTATTTGTTTACCCAATGGAAACTAGCAGATGTTGAAATGTTGAAGATATGCAGTACATTTAGATCATCATCATGTTTAATGATGTCTTAGGTCCCGGGTGCTGTGGACCATATGTATACTTTGTTTTCTCAACTCGAAGCTTATGATTTTAGATAAAAGAGGACAGAGAGAAAGATCCTGAATGGGCATCTGTTTGAGGTTGATTTCTCTAATTTCTGCGGTTTATTTTTGCTGGTCTTGCATTTCAGGTTCAGTTGCATCTGACTGAAAGGAAAAGTAGCCCTACATTTGAAATGTTGGCTAAGTGACTTGCATTTGCAGTGTGGGATCAGATCATAGTAATAGCAATAGCACTTAGACTTATATACCACTTTATAGTGCTTTACAGCCCTCTCTTTATAGAGTCAGCCTATTCATCCTAACAATCTGGGTCCTCATTTTACCAACCTTGGAAGGATGGAAAGCTGAGTCAACCTTGAGCTGGTCAGGATCGAACTCCTGGCAGTGACCAGAGTTAGCCTGTGCAATAACTGCATTCTAACCTATATGCCACCATGGCTCTTGTCAACATCCCTGTCTTGACAGAAGTTCTGTCTCAGATCTAGCTCAAAACTAGGCCCCTTTTGATAAGTTCAATGTGATTAGATTACTCACTCTTCTCCCAAGGTGGCACTTCTGAGATACATGGGAGACCATTGGGAGACAGAGATAAAGATTGTCTACACCTCTACATTAAGGTTTGGGACTAGTAACAGAGACCCAGGTAAAAGATTTTCCTCCACCCTTGAAGCTGCCTAGATGAATTTGAACCAATCAAATTCTCTCAGTCCAACCCACCTCATAGGGCTTATATGGGGGAACATAGAAGGAGGGAGAGCTATGTCAAGCAGATGGATACAAACCTTACAAACAACTTGAATCAAGTCCATTTTGATTCCTAGAGACTGCCTGGACCAGTTTTGGTCCACAAGTCATAAAAGGGCCACGTTTGAAGACCCTTGTTTTAGATATTTAGTCATTTGGAAGTAGCTGCGTTATCAAGGCAACATTCACTTTTTTTTTTAACAGCGTTGAATGAACGCATTTTAAGGTTTAAATGTTGTTGTTGTTGGGCTTAAAATTCTCCTTTTCAAGTGCTGCAGTTTTCTTGACAAGATTTTTGGAAATGGCTTGCCATTGCCTCCTTCCTTGGGCTGAGAGAGAGTGATTGGCTCAAGATGACTCAGCTGGTTTATGTCTAAGGCACCACTAGAACTCACAGTCTCCCAATTTTTAGCTGGTGCCTTAACTGCTACAACAAATAATTGTCTTACTTTAACTCATATATGTCGGTGGGACTAACATGCCCAAAAATGTGTACAGGAGGATTGAGCTGTTCTGAATGTTCTGGTCTCACCAGGCTCAGTCAAAATGGCTGTGAATAAAGGATTGTTTGGAATTGCAGTCCAAAACAGAACCAAAAAAATGGCACGTTCCTGTCTGTTCTTCCTGTCCCAGAGGATGAACGAATGAGACGTTCTCCCGTCGCAGTTCCCCTGTGAAAACCACATTAGTCCTCACAAGAAGTTTCTAAAAATATATTTAGATTAGTTCTTAGAAAGAGAAGTCATTCAGCCAAAGAGAAAGAAGAGAAATATTTTTCAATTAGCTGTGCTGATTCAGTTTTGCTCCTTCAGGTCTCTGCTAGGTTAGTTTAGGCTCACATTATTCAACCCACTGTTCATAAGATTCTTATTTCCAAAGCTGTAATTAGATTTTTCAGCATTTCCTCCCCCCCCCCCGCCCCCATTCTTTAATGTCCAGTAGGAGCTGTATAATAAAAGTCAAGCAACTGGTGTGCATTCAAATGCCTTTGAAAACAGCTTTTAGCTCCAGTGGCTTGTATTTCAGTCATAAGGATATTCATTCAACAAAATTAAGAACTCTTGAAAGAAAAGTTTCACAACTGCCAAACGCTGTGTTGTTTGAGATCCAGGATGATTTACGCTCTACAGTAAAGTACAGTATGGCTTTAATAAGTAAATTGATGATGATGTTACCGCAGTGGAGGAAAATATCTCAGTTGGAGAGTTGAAAACTTGGCAGCCCAAGTTTATGAAATACAACTCTCCTCTCGTACAGGCTAAAAAGAGACTTTGTACATATTATCTTACATTCATGTTAATGCCTTTACTCGCTACGAAAATTGAATTTATGCTGCCTTGACAGAGGGTTTCTATTGTCTGTAGTTCTAAATAATCCTCCCAGCCAAAACAGCCCAAAAAAACCCTACAATAATGACACCAGTTTAATATACAGTGCTGGGAAACCAATGTGGCAAACTTTGTAGTGTCATTATAATGGGACACCCCAGATTGTGTGTCATAGGGCTTTCACGCCGATTGAGTAACACATCTTGTTAAAACATAATGAGCGATGCAATTGGACTTGGCGTGATAGATTTTTGCAGGTCAATAACTGACTGTAAACTTCAGGAAGTGATCAGTGTGCTGATTATGTCTGAGGACCCTTATTTTAGAGCAGGGGTCCTGAACCCCCAATCCGTGGACCGGTACCGGGCCGCAGCATGCCAGCAACCGGTCCACACAAACAAGCAAAGTCCCATCCGCGGAATGCAGGCAGCACACAAATACACACACCCTCCACTCCGCGGGAAAACCTCTCTCCACGGAACCGGTCCCTGGTGCCCCAAAGATTGGGGGCCTCTGTTTTAGAGGGACTTCTTTTTTATTTGTAGCAGACCAGCTCCTGCTTATGTCCCACCACAGTACAGGTAATCCTCAACTTACCACCGCAATTGATCCCAAAATCTATCTTGCTAAGTGAGACATTTGTTAAGTGAGTTTTGCCCCATTTTACGACTTTTCTCGCCGCATTTGTTGAAGTGAACCACTGCAGCTGTTAAGTTAGTCACACGTTTAAGTGAATCTGTCTTCCCCAATGGACTTGGCTTGTCAGAAGGTCGCCAAAGGGGATCACATGACCCCCCCCGGGACATTACAACCAGTCGTAAATATGAACCAGTTGCCAAGCATCTGGATGTAAATCACATGATCCTGGAGGTACTGCAATGGTCCTAAGTGTGAAAAATGGCCTTAAGTCAGTACCGTTGTAACTTCGAACGGCCACTAAATGAACTGTTGTAAGTCAAGGACTCCCTGTACTGCATCTCCTTTTAGATCAGGGGTCTTCAAACTTGGCCCTTTTATGACTTGTGGACTTCAACTCCCAGAATTCCTCAGCCAGGCACATTTAGTCATTTGGAAGTAGCTGCGTTATCAAGGCAACATTCACTTTTTTTTTAACAGCGTTGAATGAACGCATTTTAAAGTTTAAATGTTGTTGTTGTTGGGCTTAAAATTCTCCTTTTCAAGTGCTGCTGTTTTCCTTCTTTTCTCCCAGAGGTTTTGTCTGCCATCTTCAGTGTATTGTTGATTTACATCCTAATGGTCTTCCTCTTATACGAAGCCATTCAACGAACCATCCACATGGACTATGAAATTAACGGGGATGCGATGCTTATCACCGCAGCTATTGGAGTAGCAGTAAACCTCATGTAAGTTGTTGTTTTCCTTCTCCTTAAGACTGGTAGTCTATTGATCTTGATGGCGTCTGCTAGCTGCAGCTGTCAATCTCATCTGGATAGGTCTGATGTTGGACACCGTTGGGTTGTCCAGTCTCTTTCCACCGGGACGTTTCTCAGACCATTTGCACAGTGCTTGAAATTTTCTCCGGAAGGACTTGTTATTAATGGCATGGTTACTGCTACGCAAAGGGTAGGAAGTAGAAGCAGTGAGGGGGCAGAACAGTAGAGCCATGTTGCGAAGCAGGGCTGTCCAACCTTGGCAATGCTGGCTTAGGAATTCTGGGAGTTGAAGTCCACGGGTTGTAAAAGGGCTACAGTTGCCCACCCCTGCTATTGACGATAAAACGCTTCTCAGTCACAAAGCAAACGGCAAGTAGCTATAGACAAGCATCGATTAGCCTGGGCTGAATTTGTACCAGCCATAGGTTAATTGGCCAATTATGCTGGCTTGATAGTCCAGTGCCCGGGCACCTGTAATTTCCTCCCCTCTCAAGAAAAGCAGAAAGAAAGGATTTGGGGAGCAGAAGGCTCTACCTATGAGAGCACAAAAAAAATTTCTTGCTACTCTGTTTAGATCAAAGCATATTTGAGTAATGGGGCACAAGGAAGACGAGGGGATTTCTGCCCCACTATTCTTCTTGGCAAGCGTAGGCCTGGAGTGATTTTTCTCCTTGAAGATGGGCAGGAGGCCAGGCACAGCAGATTAGCAGGAAGAGTGAAATATAATAGATAAAAGTAACTCTGGAGAACGATGTTCAGATAGGCTGTCTGGCCAGCAGCTGATCCGTGAGCATATATACATTTACAGTGGCTTTGCAGAACAGCTTTAAAAAGCACTGCTGACTCTCATTAAATCCCGTGAACAAGTAACTGATTATTTTTCAGACTTTGTGCTGAAAACCCGGATCCCTTTGGATGCAAAAAAAGAAATCAATCAATAAATTTGCTTCAGAGCCTACAG